CTTTCATGATATAAATTCAAGAATGATAAGAGTTTTGTAACATTTGATTGTTTAGGAAAGAAAAGATGATGGGCAATGTGGAAAAGGAGAATAAAAAACCTAAAATCAATGGATTGATCGATTTGATATTTTCTTGGTCTCTAACCGATGTAATGAACGAGGATCTTTACAGGAATCAGGTTTGTTTCTTTTGCATTTTCTTGATTCCTTATAATCTTGTGTTTTCCCCCAGCTCAAATAATTCAAGAATTTGATTAGTAGTGCAAAATGATTGCTGTTATTATATGTTTTTCCTCTTGAGGGTCTCCAAAGAATTTTTATCTTGACAGGTTGAGAGAATTCCTGAAACTTTCTCCTCACCACAGAACTACGTCACGTCATTCATCTATCCACTTATTGAAGAAACACATGCTGATCTACGTTCGAATTTTACATCTGTGTATCACGCACCTGCGCGTGAAATTTTTTTTATTGTAGAAGACAAAGATTTCAGGCTTCCAAAGCATTTGTCGTATACCATGTTCTTGGAAAGATTAGAATCAGACAATGAGGCAGACAGTGAAATATACGAACCTGAGTTTGGAGATTTATTTGCTTTGACAGATGTAAAGCCCAAATGTATTGACGATTTGGACAGGCCTAAAAGACGTTATACTATTGCTATAGTTCAACGCAAGGAGGATGATCAAAGCGAAAGGAAAATTATTCCTATTTCAATACTATCTTCGAATCCTATAACGTTTGACAAGGAAGAGGGCCAAAAGAAGGACAAACTTTTTGCTGTTCATCTTACTAACTTGACGACGAATATGCGCATATGGGATGCATTGCATCCAAATTTGTCAAGGGAAAATATGAAGATCTTTAATTCATTGCTGCAAATCAATCCAGCTGTACGATCTACTGAAGTTTATCTCTATGCCTTGATGATGTGTTTGGTATGATAGTACTGGACAATATTACGGAAGAAAAATATATCCTCGATTTATGTCTAGTACTTTGTATCAAACATACACCGATCATATTATTTATTAAAGCATTCTTGATAATCTTGATCAAATCATTAAATTCTCAGTGCACTCTTCTACTTTATGCAGGAAGAAGTAAATTGTTCGCTTTGTTTCGACGATGAAACTAGGAATATTCATGTATCAAGATTAAAGGAAGCCATTGGCACTTTTGGAATGGATGATTCACAAGAAGCTGCTATTTTAAGTTGCATTATGACAAAAGAATGTCATCATCAAAATAACTTAGAGCTTATATGGGGTCCTCCGGGAACTGGAAAAACAAAAACAGTTGCATCACTATTATTTGCCTTGTTAAAGATGAATTGCAGAACATTGACTTGTGCTCCAACTAATATTGCTGTCCTAGGAGTTACAAAAAAATTCCTGAGTTTGCTAAGTGGTACATTGTCATACGACACGTATGGTCTGGGAGATGTAGTTTTATCTGGTAACGAGAAACGAATGAATATTGATAACCAGGAAGATCTTTATGATGTATTCCTAGATTACCGTATTGCTGTACTTCTTGAGTGTTTTGCACCATTCACTGGGTGGAGGGGTAGTATAAAATCAATGATAGACTTGCTTGAAAATCCCGAAGAGCAGTATCAACGATACTTGTCAAGTGAAATTGAAAAGCAGGAAAAAGCTGATGGTGATGATTGTGATACTGTAAATAAAAATGAAAAGGAACGGTTCAGTAGAGGGCAACAGAGTGGTAGCCAAGAGAAAGAGACGGAGACGGAGATGGAGAGTGGAAATATCAGAGAAATATTAAGGAAGAAATATATGAAGGAAATTGTCCATAAATTGAGAAGTAAGAAGAGAAAATCGAAGCATCCAGAGCCTTTCCAAAAAAGAAGTCAATTGATGCGTGATCGAGGTGACATTCCATGGACATTTGAGGAATATATGAAAAGGAAATTTAATTCAATAGGTAGACAGGTAATTCTTCATACGACAAGCTTGTATACTCATTTGCCTACTTCTTTTCTTAATCTGGAAGTAGTAAAGAACATGGTTTGGGCTCTTGACATGCTCGAAACTATAAAAACTTCGATCCATAACGTTATTGTTGCAAAAGAAGATTTACGAGGAGTCCTAAAAGGAACAGGAAAAAACTTCAACCATTTGTGTAAGATCAGATTAGAGTGCCTTGAAGTACTGAAATTTCTTCATGACAATTTCTCATTCCCTCCATTCAATGACGAAAAATTAGTTGACAAAAAAGAAGTTGGAAATTTTTGTCTTCAACATGCTTGCTTGATATTTTGTACTGCTTCGAGTTCAGCGAAGATGCAACGTGAAGAAATGACACCATTTGAATTATTGATCATTGATGAAGCTGCGCAGTTAAAAGAATGTGAATCTGCAATTCCCTTACATCTCCCTGGTCTTCGCCATGCTATACTTGTTGGAGATGAGAAACAACTTCCAGCTTTTGTTCAAAGCGAGGTATCTTTATCATTTTTATTTCATACCTTGTTCTTTTAGTGAAGTAGCTTTGGTACGCATTATAATATAGAACTAGACAGGATAGTAAACTAGACTTAGACTCTCGTTTGGTATTGATAGATATGTGAGAAAGCTGATTTTGGGAGGAGTTTATTTGAAAGGCTTGTGATATTAGGACACAGCAGGCACCTTCTTAATGTTCAGTATAGAATGCATCCATCAATAAGCTTATTCCCGAATACAGAGTTCTACGGCAAACAGATTACGGACGGTCCAAACGTCAGGGAAGAAACCTATGTAAGACGTTTCCTTAAAGGAGACATCTTTGGTTCCTACTCGTTCATTGACGTAACCAGTGGGAAAGAGCAATTTGATGATAGGCGTAGTCGGAAAAATATGGTTGAGGCCTCTATTATTGCTGAGATTGTATCCAACCTTTATAAAGGTAGTTGTATCTACTCGTTAAGTGCTCTATATATTGATAAAAATTCATCGTAATACCCATTTAGAATCAAATTCTAAGTTTTATTAGTTGTTTCTGAAGTGCATATCTACATTCAAGTTCTCGCTGTTGATACTTTTTTCACAGAATCTATTACCTCAAAGCAGAAGATCCGAGTTGGTTGCTTATCACCATACAAAGCACAAGTTTTTGCAATTCAGCAGATACTGGGAAAGAAATATAGTAATGATGCGGACAAAGATTTTTCAGTAAATGTTCGCTCTGTTGACGGTTTCCAAGGTGGTGAAGAAGACGTCATAATATTCTCTACTGTACGATGCAATGGGAATGGATCAGTTGGTTTTCTTTCTAATTGCCAAAGAGCAAATGTGGCTTTGACTCGAGCAAGGTACTATAGATGCAACAAAAAGAAGTTCATGTTTAATGTCTCTTGCGTTCTATCACTATTGCGTTCTCGTACTTGTTTCTCAGACAATTCGATATATACCTTAATGAAATGAAAAAAAGGGGATTTTTCTGCAGGTACTGCCTTTGGATATTGGGCAATAGCGAAACATTACTAAAGAGTGGATCCGTTTGGAAAAATTTAGTTCTAGATTCCAAGAATCGGGGTTTTTTCCATAACGCTTTTGATGACAAAAATATGGCTCAAGCAATTACTAGTGCCTTGGTTGAGCTCAACCAGTTTCGTTTGTTATTTAACCCAAACTCCTTGGCCTTCAAAAATGCAAAATGGAAGGTACACTTTATTCATTTCTTTACCTTCAAATTTGTTGATTACTTTGCTTGTGATATGAGAAATACTAAAGGCATGTTTTGTGAGGCGATAGGTCTGTTTCTGTGACGAATTTTTGAATTCCATGTCAAAGATTCAAGACATACACGTCCGTAAAGAAGTCCTTTCTCTTCTTGAGAAGCTTGCAAGTGGTTGGCGTCAGCCGCCTAAACATAACAATTTCAGCAAACTTGACGGTGCTTCTTCTGAATTGTTGGAAATATACAATGTCAATAGGTCATTGAAATTGATTTGGACGATAGAGATTGTCCGTGAAAATGCAAACGAGGTTCAAGCGATCAAAATTTTGGACATTTTGCCACCTTTTAAGATATCTATACTGGCCGAGAAACTCGATGCAGTCTTTGGGAACTTTACAGTTAATTATATGAGTCGTTGCTTGTGCAAGCGCATTGAAGGGTATGTTACTTCTCACTCTTGTTTTGAAATTCTTCGACAAAGAATTTTTGAAGCTGTTTGAAATGCTAAATGAAGAGGCATATACTCGTGCATTCAGCATTCCATTAGAAACTAAAACCTTAAGCTACTATATAGATTTGATCTCAGTAGAACAGACTAAAAATGCCTTTGTTGGAACGAAGAATTGATCAGGAACGAATTCCTATTAAGGTTTAAGAAGCGACTTATGGCTTGGTCATTCTCTGCAGGGAAATGATACTTCCTATGTCATGGCCGGTGAATACAAATATTAAAAATTCTCGTCCTGTCAAAGATCCAACGGATAAGTTAGTACCTCGACTGGCAGCAGTGAGTTTGAGAGATAGACCAGGTACATCAATGGGAAGTCACAGGGTGAGTCTTGTGAACAAAATTATTCTATGCAGGAACTTCTTTTGTTTGCTACTTTGGAATAATTCTGTTTTCATTCGTGGAAAACAGGAACGGCGTCAAGTCGACAAAGAGTGGTGGAAAACAGGACGTGATGGAAAATGGATTTGAATTGGCATTTTTCTCCTGAGAAGTTCAAGCAAAAAGCGAAAAGGCTGTCAGTGTTAATCTTGATCTGATTAACTGGTTGTGTGGATGAAAAATTGTTGCTTCATTTAGTTTCAAGAAGAAAGTTGATTTAAACCAATTCTGCACCCATGATTAGCTATCATTTTAAAATAGACATGCTTAAAATACTTTCGGTGTTAATTTGCAATGGATGTTTATGTTGGAATTCGGAAGTGGAATTATCCAGAAATTAAAAATTTCTTTAATTCAATAAGCAAGATCGTCTAGATATTTACATATATGTTATATCAAAATTAAAGGTTTTGATTTTTTTACATAAGTTCGGAAGATCAACCCTTGAATTGATTTTGAACCACGAACTTTCGGCCCTTTTAATTGCAAGAATCTTGATGCTTTAAATCTTCAAACCTTCCGAGATATTCTCCAAAGCAAAGATTACATCGGTGTGTTGACACCTTCTTTTAATTAATTCAAAAAACTAATTCTTGAACTAGACAATTAGAATGCAAGGGAATAAATATTTTCTCTCTCTAAATTTAAACTCTATAGAATTATGTATTATGAGTGTTGTATTTCTTTTGTCCATCCAACCTCTACTTATAGAGAGAAAGATTATTTAATTTAAATGCAATAATAATTCCACATTCAAACAAGAGTTTTAATTAAAACCCAAGTAAGAGTTTTAGTTTAAGTCCAAATCCAATTAGTTTACATTTAATTACATGTGTAGTTCTAGAATTTTAATTTCAATTATAATTAAGTTTACAATTTTCATTGTAATTACAAAGTACAAAACTTTATTGTAATTATAATTAAGCCAAAAACTATTATAATTACCGTAATTAAGTTCCAATACTTTATGGAGCTACTACAGGAACATGATCGGATATATATTATCCAAACTCCAATAATTAGATCTTGTTTAGTCGATCCTAGACCATCTAATCTAACTATTAGTCTTTGCTTTTTTCACTAAAGGAAAAAGATTGAACTCTTGGACGATATAAAATCACATAAGCCAATAAATCAGTAATACTTTCCTTTGACCTGCCGTACATGTTTTTTATCCCCATCCGAGTTCCAATAATTAGGTACGAGCATAAATGACAGTTTTGCCCCTCTAATTATTCTCACCAATTTAAGTTTCATCTTTTTCAATGATCCTGTGAACTAATCAGAAATGTTGAAGTTTAGCCGTTGCCAAACACTGAGTTCAGATTTTAACTGTTCAACAAAAAACTTAAGTAGTCACTCTACCCATTTTTTCAGAGTGACAGCTCCCGACACGGATTCATGTTCTTTACTCCACTCATTCTCAAGTTTCCATTTCATCGAGATATTTGACCAATTAAATTAATCTCAACCATTAATGAATCAAAGAATAATTAAAATTACAAAAAGATATACATATTCCCGTCAAGGGATTTAGATGGAAATGCACTGTAGTCAAGTGAAATTTAATTCTTCACACGGTTATGCTATAGAATTAAATTCCTCACGCGGTTTGTTCAATACACTCTAAATGTACTAGTACCACATTTAACTATTTCTATGATAAAAACAATTCACAAACATGAATAGTGAATTGGTCAACATTACAACCTTCCAGTACAAGACGTCAACCCTTATACATAGATTGTGAATAAATTATTTATGATCAAAATATAAGTTGTGTCACATTGTACTTCTCAATGCAAGTACCCAACTCATATTATTACAAATGATCATAGACACTTTAATTTCATATACTCAATAATAAATAAAATAAACATAATTTTATTCAATATAAAAATATTATTATTTTTTACATCAGCAAACTATACTATATGGACACACAACCCAACAGTTTAAGCTAGTTAGGGTCCCCCAAAGAAAAGAAAAGAAAAAAGATCTTATATTTTTGTCAAAAGAAGTAAATTTTTTTACTGAAAGTCCCAAAGATTTGATGGCTAAATAAGCTAAAACTTGTGTGGGAAAAATTATAATGAAGAGTGAAAATGAAATGGAAATGGGTATCATGAAAGGATAATTCTACGTGTACATTATTACATTCATAAGGGTGTCCATAATGTATATGTGAAATTCTATGATTGGAGAATTGAAAAAACAGTTTATCAACTCTCCAATGATATCATGTTACTTGTACGTTATGAACACTATAATATACATATAACATAATCCATCAGGAAATGTGTGGTAAGCAATTGGTAGCAGTTGTTTAGAATTTAAAATATAAAATACTAGTCAACCTTTCATACAATGAAGTGGACGTGCCGGAGTGGTTATCGGGCATGACTAGAAATCATGTGGGCTCTGCCCGCGCAGGTTCGAATCCTGCCGTTCACGTTTTTTTTGTGGCCTTTAAATTTTTCAAAGAAAACAATATATTACACTGGCATCGTAACAAAATTGTACTCTTTTCTCATTTATATAATAAAAAAACATCTATTTTGTGAAGAAACAAATTTTCTTCTACATATGGAACTAACAAACCCTTATGATCATTGTCAAGTGGCCCGGATTTTTTTTTCTTTGGAACCATTCAATGCTAATTGAAGATGAGTCCAATATCATTGGAGACCCTATGTCTTACTAAACCTAAAATGGGAACCCTGGATTGCTCCATTATTGTT